AAGCCCTTCCGCTCTAAACGACGGGCCGTAGCACGGTGGGAAGCCCGACAATACTTTTTAGATTGAATTTGGATTTTTCTCTCTTCGCGCCTTGCTCGTGCGCGCATTCCGCGACGCGCGAAAACAATCGATTTGCTTCATTGGACCATCACGGGGGATTTCAGTTCCGTCTGTGTCCCCACACTCAATTTCCAAAAATCCTTGTTACACCCCATCTTGTTGTTTTTCTGGGCCTCTTTCCGCACAACTAACACTCCGAACGAAAGACAGTACAGGGCGTGAGGTTTTGCGCGTCACAGAAGCGCTGCCGAATCTTTACGGCGGCAGCGCTGGATTTCTTTGCTGTACGGCGGAAGCGCTGGATTTCTTGGCTGTACGGCGGAAGCGCTGCCGAATTCTTACGGCGGCAGCGCTGGATTTCTTGGCAGTACGGCGGAATCGCTGCCAAACTTGTGCGGCGGCAGCGCTGGTTTTCTTGGCGGTACAGCGGAAGCGCTGCCGAATTCTTACGGCAACAGCACCGGTTTTCTTGGTGGTACGGCGAGGGCGCTGCCGGATTTTGTGGCAACAGTATTTTGCACAGGACTGCGAGAAGGGGGGTTGGACGTTGCCGTAGGGACGGTACCGCCAAGGTGGAAGTGCATCTTGAAGTAGTTGGGGCATGGTCGCCAGGGCGTCGTGACGTTGGAAGGTGTGACGTCGGGATTGAAACGCTGTCAAATTGCTGGAAGTGGAGGAGAGTGATGAGACAAGCGGTCGTCACAAGCGAGCGATGGGGATCGCCTTGTGATTGACTAGGTGTGGCGATCGTCTCGTTGAGAACGTTGTGACATGCGGCACCTGCAGGAATTGGCAAGGCCGTTGTTATTTTTTTTTTGCGGCACGTTGAACGAGCGGGGTTTGAGTCCGGGACCACCAAGTATTGCGGCAGGTGTGTGGTGACCTGATTTGGTATTTGGTGGATTGAGAAGACGCTATATTTTGAGAGGAGAAGTGCCGCTGAGACCGTGTGGGGTTTGAGAGGGGGAACACTCCTTTCAAACAGCGAGCTCGCTCTGTTTTGGTGAGCGGCGTCTGGGTCAGTGGTGGCACTTGAAGGAGGGCGTGGTTCATACTTGTGAGCGGCCAGAACGAGAGTTGTGCGGCAGAACTTTCTTGAGAAAATACTCGGCTTTCTTTACTGAGCCTTCATAAAATTCACTCAAGGTCAGTTGTGACTCAGTTTCCTTTGCACACCCGCGTGAACCCACACCTTGCATGACCTTGCTTGAATTCAGGGGAAAGGGTGAAGTAAGAGTGTGACGTCGTGCATGTGGGAAAAATGGTTGACTTTGTTTTGGGGATGGATGAATGTTTGGATTGTTTCTTTTCTTGATTGTGCAGGTAGGTTGGAAGATGCATGTGAGAAGGAAGCAGCATTGGTTGCTCGAGAGAATAATGGGATGCTTACCTTTTTCTTCCACTCAACCTGAACGCATGTGAAAGAAAAGAGGAGAAACAAAAATAATAATAATGAAAGTGTGAACAGACGGGTGCCGAAAGAACGAAAGTCGCGGAAAATTTAAAAGAAAAGAAGACAAAGGAATACCTTAGTATCGTCCCAAGGACCTTTGCATTCTATCCCGAACGACCATTTTCCCTCTATGCCCGTCCAAAGTATCTACTCCCTTTTCTTCTTCATT